TACAAGATTTGAAATGGTCAGTTAATTGAGGTAAGTAATCCTGAAGTAAGTCTTTATAAGCAGCTGAAGTTGGGAATATTCCTGAGAAATGTTTAGTCCAAATCCAAGAAATAGAAGTATTTGAAGGAAGGATAGGAGTATTAAGAATCCGAGAAGTTTGGATGCTATCAAAAAAGTTTGGATCAAAGAGATATTCCAAGTGCCATTATGTATAAGATCAGTGAAAGTAAGATTTAGTAACTGAGCAAGAATAGGACGATTGATCATATAAAAGTTATCATTGTTTTGGATCCAGGCAACTTGGAAAATCTTATCCATAAAGAGACTAAAAAACCAACCTCCTGAAGCAGATTTTGAATTTTTGTAGCAGTAGATTTCCAAAAATAAGAACTGGATTTAGAAATGGATTAAGGAAAATTTTCATTCTGAGGAAGGTATTTAGATTTCCATAATTGAGCCCACAATTTTTGCTGCTCATTAAGGTAACACCAAGCAAGTTCTTTTGCAAAAGACTAAGTTAATTAACTTGATTTCTCTGAATCCTAGTCCTCCATAAGATTTAGGAATAGCTAATTTATGCCAAGAACACTAGTGATAGGGATAAGGGTTAGTATCTGATTTATACCACCAAAATTTTTTTATGATATGATCAATAGCAAAAATGGTTTTTTACAGTCATGGTATGATTAGGAATGGAATGAAGTACAAATTATATAACAATTATTTTACTCGCTTGACTAATAGCTGAAGCTTTCCAAGTATTAAGCTTATTTCTAAGATTGTCCAGAAGGAAAGAAAGTTGAGAATGTTTATTTCTACCCCAAATCAAAGGAAGACTTACGTATTTAGAATTTTTAGGAAGATTCTTCATTTGGAGTTGTCTCCAAATCATTCTTCGATGTCTAGGATGGGTATTCTTACTAAAATAAATTCCAGATTTTTCCAAATTAACTAACTGCCTTGAGATATTTTGAAACCTATGAAGAATAACTTTGAGAGTATCCAGTTCATCTCGGTGACTTCTTAGGAATAAAAAAATATCATCATCAAAAAGTATATGAAAAATAGTGGGGGCTCTAGATGTGATTTGTAATCCTTGGAGTTGGTTCTCATTTTTGGCTTTGAGAATCATCTGAGTTATGCATTCCATGGCCATAAAAAGATAGGGGGATAAAGGGTCCCCTTGTCTAAGACCCCTGGTGGGTAAGATTTTACCCTTAACAGTACCATTAATAAGAATTAGAGTATGATACAGAAGAGATGCATTCTAAAATGACTTGACTGAAATCCTAGGAAAATTCTAAGGCTTTTAAAACTTCAAGAATAAAAGACCATTCAAGTCTGTCATAGGCTTTTGCCACTTCTAATTTAATAGTCACATAGCCTGTACCCCGCTTGTGATGTTTTAGATAATGAATACTTTCATGGGCAATAATAGTATTATCTACCATTTGCCTTCCTGGAATAAAGGCTGATTGATTGGCTAGAATCTTTAAAATGATTTTACATAGAACATTACAAAGGCTGATGGGACGATAGTCTTGAACTTTAGTACATAAAGGTATGATTGAGACGTCTCAATAACTTATTATTTTGGAAAAATTCCTTGGCAATTGCCCATCAAATCCCACTATTCCTTTTAAACTAAAGTAGGCATCCATCTGGTCCTAGAGATTTTAGGTTGCCTATACTAAACAGAGCTAATTTAATTTCTTCCTCATAAGGAATAGCAGTAAGATTCCTATTATCTTCCTCCATAATGATAGGGGTGAAAATATTGTTAATAAAGGTCATACCATCTAAAGGGTGATGGGTAAAAAGATATGAAAAAATAAGAAATGAAAATTTCTGCAATGTTTTTAATATTTGTTACCCAAGATCCTTGACAGTATTTAATGCCTTGAATTCATTCCTTCTCTGGCAACACATTGTATTTTTATGGAAATAATTTTTATTTTTATCTCCCATGTTTAGCCAGAGTTGTTTAGATCTTTGTCACCAAAAACTTTCAATTTGAGGTTGAGTATCATCATAATTTTTGTATAAAGACATAATTTGATTCTGATCCCAAGATGTAGATTGTTCCACTTGGATAATCTGGGATTCTAATTCATTAAATCTAATATGGGGATCAATGAACATTGTTTTTCTCCATTTAATCAAGTTAAGTTTAATATGATCCATTCTCAAAGAAAGATGATAGGCAGCATAACCTGTGATGTGACAATCCCAACCATTCAAAATTTCAGATCTACAAGATTCATCTAGTAGCCACATTTCATAGAATCTAAATGGTTTTGGATACTGTTTGGAGAAATGTCCAGAATTAGAGGATGGTGGTCAAATCCCCAACGAGCCGCCAAAGATAGATTTGCATGTGGAAAGACTAAAATCCAGTCAAGAGTGGCTAAAGCTCTATCCAGGGTTCTATTAACAAGACCAATAGATCTTTTATAAGACCAACTCAATCGGCCAACTTGAATGTGGATTTCAAAAAGATTTTGGTCTAGAATTAGGTGACAGTTTTGAGTGGATGTAAGCCTAGAGGATCTGTCAGAAGATGAAGGGTCTTGAATTGCAACACTATCTGTTTCATTAAAATCACCAATAAGTAAGAAAGGTAGATTGACCGATTGTAACTCCTGATTAAGTTTTGACCAGAAATTATTCCTATGGGATTTTATAGATGGTCCATAAATAAAACCAAGTAACCAGTTATCTAAAAGAGGAAGAGAAGATATTCTGAGAAAAACATACCTTGAATGAGTCAAAAAGGTAGAGACATTGATACCAGTTTTCCAAAAGATAGTTAATCCTCTAACTTGTCCTTCAGGAGGAATTAGATAATAATTAGAATAATGAAAACGATTAGCTAATGATTGCATTTTATCTGAGGGAACTTTGGTTTCACAAAGAAATATAAAATGTGGATTATAATTTCTAACCAAAACTCATATTCTTTGAACTGCCTTAGGACACTCGGCCCCACAACAGTTCCATCTCATAATCAATATTGGCAGTCTTGTGGTTGTTGTTGGGGGGAGGGGGGCAGCTACCACCGCCCTAAACAAATAAGAAGATAAAAGAAAGAAACTAATTGGTTATGTCGCACTTACATAGGTATTTTCCTTGGTCAGCAAGCCTTGGTTTGATTAGTCAGATAATTGTCAGTGTCCAGGGTAGAATGAACTATAGAAAGGATTCTCTCAATCTGATTACTTTGGGTGGAAGACTCAAGTCTATCATAAATAGGAAGGTCAGTAGAGCCTTCAACCTCAAGGTGTTGCAAGAGGTTTATCCGAGGACATTTACCTTTAGAAGAAGTTCCCATCGTATCCAAAGACAACAGTTTGGGGAGGGTAGTCTGGGTGTAAAGTACTAACTGAAAGGTTTCAAAGGAAACTCTCAAGGAAGAAAGAACACTAAAAGAAGGATCTGACATAGAAAAGGAAGAGGTGATTCTTGCCAAGGTTGAATTCGTGGGAGTAGTTGTTTGACAAGGTTAGGAAGGGGTGTAACAGGTGAAGCAGACATTAGGGGAGGTCTTACAGTATCTAGTTGAATAGGAATGTTAACAAACTCACGAAAAGAAGGGCCAAGGAGATGCATGGATCGCTGGTTAAAATATTGCTCAAACGATTGACTAGTGACGTGGGGATGATTTTGTGAGCATTTGCGATAGAGATGGCCAACTTGGCCACAGAGATAGCAGGTTGAAAGGAGATCTTCATATCTAAAATCTACCCAGTTCAAAGCACTGCAAAAAGAATCTATTTTAAGAGGCTGATCAATTGTAAGGCAGACCTTAACTCGAATATAATTTTGAATAACCATAATATGATGAGTAGGGCCTATACGCTCAAAGATGAGTCTACCTATGTCAACTGAAAGAATTTCGTAAGGAAGATCATGAAATTGGACCCAAACCTCAATTTGATTCAGTTGTCATTCATGTTGCAGTGTCCCAGGAACCAAAGGTTTAAGAACAATCCATATGTCCATTAAGTATCCAAAGGCCATTATCTCTTATGCGAATAAAATCTTCTTCATATCTGAAACGTAATCTAAAATGACCTCTTTGAAAAAGTATGAGGAGAAGACTGGGGTCTAAGTTCGAGAGAGTATAAAGACCTTGTTCAAGCTCGGAATATGAAGACATATTATCAATAAAATCAATCCCGAAATATTATTGGCATGAAGCATGTTTTGAAAAGCTTTATTCAAAGCATCTAAGTCATCCATACTTGAGAACAGAAGAGGAAGAAAAGTGGAAGAAGAAAAGCAAGGAGCAGGAAAAACAGGACTAGAAATAAGCGAAAACAAAGAAGAGAAATTTGAGAGATAGAAAATGATTACAAAATCTTGTAAATAAAAAAAAAATAAAATAATTAGGAAAGAAGACGTTTGTCACCAAGTGGCAACCAAAGAACAGAAAGACGAGATATTAGTTATATCAAATAAATGTTCTAAAGTTCAATAAGACATTAAGAAAAGACTATTGCTAAAAATAAATAAGAATAGAACTCTTTTTAGTTCAAAAATAAAACCAGACAACCAAAAAGGTATTCAGTAAGTTAAGATGCAACTAAAATAAGATACCTAAGAAACTAGAAAAGAAAGTTACCGGTTCAAGATGGAAACTAGATCTAACTTAGTTTAACAAGAGTAATAACGCTTAGTGGTGCAGTAAATGGTGATTTGCATAGTATCCTTCTACTCACAGAGCTTCGCTCTCTTCGCTAGCTGCTAGTTAGTAGAAGCTACATGCTTTTCACCATTTCCTTGTATTCATTATTTTATTAGTCACGCAACTCGACGAAAATACAAACGGCTATTGATCGATAGAGAAGATGGGTGAAAACTGAAAACCACAGGAGGTAAATGACCTTTTGATTAAAACAATGGTTTCACTACGCCTAAGGGATAGGACCACAGGCGGTAGCTGTTTACAATCTAATTGCCTACGATGATAAAACCAGATAGTGCAGAAAAACCAACCATGACAGCCTGATAGAACAGTTTTTATGAATATTAGTAGGTAGCACTGTAAGTTCAAATAGAAGAATGTTTTCCACTAAAAAACTTCCCCACATTCATACGTCTTCAACAACAAGCACACTGAATCAGCACAGTTTAGATTTGCTGTTGATAATCTCGCATTGCCCCTCTTTGACAGAAGGCACAAGCACCTTAAACCCCATCCCGGATTACGACCTTGAAGAGACACCTCCAGTTGTCTTCTCTAGGAGAAGACAAATCCTCACTGCTGAGCACACTGTACCCTTTGCGCACCACCATGAGCATCCTCATCTTCTTCGTAGGCCTCTTGGGCTTGAGCTTGCTTCCTCCGCATCTCTTCCTCAATGTTGACATCATGCAGTGTTGTCTCCTCACACTCATCCAGCTCCATGTCCGTCAGCTGCTGGGATGTTCTCGGTGGGAGCACGGCCTCCAACGCCTTGCACTGCTCCATGGTCAATGAGTCCGGGAACTCAACTGTGAAGTGAATGTACAGCTTCCCCCTCATGAATGGCTTCTGGTACATTGGCATGCCTTCATCATTGATTGCCTTGAATTGATCTGCATATCAAAAGCACCAAGGACATTAATAATCGACACCTTCATCTCTACTTTTTTTCCCAGACTGGATAGAGCGAGCACTCAGAGAAAAAATGCAACCTATAGCTTACCAGGCTTCACTACTTCCCCGGGGTTAGATTTAATGAGGAGCTGCCTGTTATCCAAGTGAGTCAGTACAAACTGGAATCCACACAAGGCCTCAGTTAGAGACAAGGTGTGCTCATAGAAGATATCATCTCCCTTTCTCTTGAACTTGGGATGTTCCTTCTGCTGCAGAACGAAGACTATATCCCCTGTGATTGTGTCAGGCTGCACAAGAACACCATTGAAGACAAAATTGAGTCTATTACAGAGGCCAACAAAACAGATGTGCCATTGGCAACAACAGTGTTAACTACAATGTACTACTACATACCGCCTCATCAGCCTCTCCTTGGAACGTTATTCTCTGTCCATTCTGCATACCCTTGTCAACAATGACCTCCAGCACCTTCTTCTCTTGAACAACTTTCTCACCTTTGCACTGTGGGCACCGGTCCTTGTCGTTGATGGTCTCCCCAGTTCCTTTGCACTCATTGCAAGGGTGCTGCATCTGCTGAATCATTGAGGGGCCAAGGTGCCTGATGGAAACCTTCATACCAGATCCTTGACAACCAGAGCATTTCATGGAAGCACCCGATTTTGATCCTTTGCCCTTACACTTGGAGCATATCACGTTCCTGGAAAGCGAGAGTTTCTTAGATGTGCCCATGTATAGGTCCTCCAAAGAGACTTTCAGAGGATGGATAACATCCTCTCCCCTTCTCTGCCTTCGTCCCCTGCTGCTACCACCACCTGATCATCACAAAACAATTCCCAGTCCCGAGTTTAACAATACGCCAATCAATCAACAGTAATTTCCCACAAACAAACAATGAACTGACTAAACCAAACCTCCAAATGGGCTGCCACCAAAGAAGGACTGGAAGATGTCAAATGGATCATGGCCACCTCCTCCTCCACTCATTCCTTCCTTGAGAGCGTCCTCTCCATATTGATCATATATGTCTCGCTTATCCGGGTCGCTCAGAACCTCATAAGCCTGAGCCAACTCCTTGAACTGCAATCAAAAGAATCACACACTTTCAAATTTCAGTGTTCCAATTAAATTGCAGCTAGATGCAAATGAGAGGGATCGGTCGATAATAAAAGGTCCTCCACATTCAAAAGCTAAAGAAATTTTCCACAATTCATACATCCTCAGCTGTAAGATATACCGGTTAAGAAGGCATCACAAGACAGACACTGGGCTAGAAAACATCTAAGACATTAGTAGGGTCCAAACCTACCACCCAAATCCCAGACCCAACAGACCTGAACGGGCAATCAACCACCTTTCTGGGTCATTACCAATTTGCCAAACTCATAAATCTCTATCCCAGCAAAAGGACCCGACAAACCTAAACCTAAACGAACACCTTCGTAGGTATTACTGCAGAAGAAGGCATCCAAAATACCAAATTGTTGTGATCACCTTGTAAACAGGAAGTTCAAAGCCCATTGACTGGATGAGATGATTAAACCCAACACCCACTCAATCACCCACCTACCCCAACCTAACAGACCGCGGATCAATCTACAATTCAACAACAAATCACCCGTAATATGTTCATATCATCCCCCTAAAGCAATTAAAAGAACAGATTCCTTTCAGAAACGTTGTTACAATTGACCAAAATCGAACAAATAACAATGCGATCCAAACCCACCTAGACCATTCCTATCAGAGCAAAATTCAGGAAATTTTCAAACTTCGCAATAAAATAATAAGAAACAAGAGAACAGAACTTCCATAACGCAACATCAGAAACTGAAGAATGACCAACAACACAAAGAGCATAACAACTACAGTACCTTCTCAGGATCTCCTCCCTTGTCCGGATGATTCTTAATGGCCGCCTTCTTGTAAGCCTTCTTCAAGTCTTCCTGCGAAGCATTTTTCGAGACCCCGAGAATCTCATAATACCTGGTATTGTCACTTTTCTTAGGCGCTCTTCCGAACATCTTCCCTCAATATCAAAATCCCAACAGAAAAAAAGAAAACCTTCCTTTCTCCAAGCGATCAAACGACCAGAACCAGCAGATCAAGCCTTCAAACTCCAACCTTTCAATCAAACCTCACACAGCCAAAACCCTAGTTCCGGTCAAAAACCCTCACGGCTTCACAGTGTAGTTGAAACTTGAAAGAGCCACTCGATCTGAGATCGATTTATCCGTTAACGCAGATGAAACCCTAATAACGAAGGGAAGACTCCAGCGATCGGCTGGTAGCCGGAGCTTCGTGAATTGAGAGCCACGGGCACGCAAAAAGGCGACAGAGGCAACGACTGATGGCTGTGAATATATACGGGGCCACGTCTTTTGTTTTACAAATCGACGGTTGATGTTGCTCTTCGAGCCCTGATCTGTTGAAAGCAAATTGTGTGTGTACACACTGAGATCTCGACATCCAGCCGCACATCTAGAACATTTCCCATACTAGTACAAGAGATGGTCCCGATGTACGGCTAGATGCCGTCTCTGGTCTCTCTGCGTATTGGCACGCATTTCCTCTTCATCTGGAACTAGAAGTTAGGTATTGACCGCCTAACGAAGACTCTGGAATTCTTTCCTATTTCTTTAACGAGAGAAAAGAATATTAGCCGTTGGATTATTTTTAATTTGACGGCTGTAAACTTTATTCTAGACACTTCTGGGAGAACTACTCACTCACTGGGGTTCGAGAAGGTATCACACTTTGTGTGTGCTTTTGGGCATGGATATATACGGAATTCGTTATCAGGTATTTACGAAAGCACCCTTTCGCGGGAAAATGTAGGTATTATTCAATACGACGAGGACCACCGTGAAAGTAGTTGCATCGTAATTAGCATCCTTTATTCTTCTTTATTTTGTGGATACATAAACTACGCCTTCACGTATATATATTTATATATGTTAAAATAAAGCAATCAAGGAATTTTTTTCTTTTTTTGATTTTTTGATTTTTTTATTCTATGTCATATTTTTAAAGAATCAATGAGTCTCTCCTTTTCAAACAATTTCTTCTCTTAAAATTTATCCTAAACTACCTCCTCTACTTTCTCCTAAACAATCTCCAATTTCTATTTATCTCCTAACTTATTTCTAATCTATTTGAGAATTCTCTCCAAATTATCTCTAATTACTATTTATCCCCTTTGCCACTTTTTATCTATATCTATCTAAAGAAAGTCTAAATTAAAAATTAAAAATTATTTAAATATTTTAACAAATTATATGATAATTTTAAAATATTTATTAAAAACACAAAAAAATAATTATAATAGATTTAATAATATTCATATTATTAACAGCCTTATATTTCTACAAAATTCATTAAGAAATTGAGTACTAATAATATAAATTATGATTTTCTAGATTACTCAAATTAAATGTTATTCAAATAATAGAAATTTAACATTAAAAAATAAAATATTATTTTAATATTTCAATAACTAAATGTCTTAAATAATAAAATATAAAAATAGCTAAATCATTAAATAAAAAATATTTAATTATTTAAATATTTCAACAACTAAATATCGTAAATTCCAATAATGAGTATTTTTAAATATTTTATATATTATTTAAATATATAAATAACTAAATATTTCTAAAAAATGAAATATTTAACATAATTATATTTTAAATAGTCAAAATAACGAAATTATGCAATGAAATAAAAAAGACATAACATAATATTCAAATTAATAATAGTTTAATATTTTTACAAAATTAATAACGAAATTATGTAATAATAGTATAAAATTTAAAATAATTATTAAAAACACGAAAAATAATTATAATAGATTTAATAATATTCCTATTATTAATAACTTTATATTTTTGCAAAATTCATCACGAAATTAAAATATTATGCTATAATTATTTTTCTGCTTTAAAGAAATTTTTTAAATTTATTACATAATTTCGTTATTTTGACTATTTAAAATCTAGTTATGATAAATATCTAGTTATTTAAATTTTTAAATAATCTACAAATATTTAAAAATTTTGTTATTTGAATTTTATTTATTTAAATCTATGACATACTATTAAATGCTTGAAAAACATTTAAATTGATGATCCAAAAAAACATAATTTAAATTGTTAGTACATAATTTCGTAATATATTTTGTAAAAATATAAAATTATTTATTAGATAATTTTGTTATTTTAACTATTAAAAATATAATTATGATAAATATTTAGTTATTTAAATATTTAAATAATTTATAAAATATTTAAATTTTTTTTGTTATTTGAATTTTATTTATTTAAATCTATTACATATTATTAAATATTTGAAAAGCATTTAAATTGATAATCCAAAAAAAAAACATAATTTAAATTGTTAGTACATAATTTGGTGATATATTTTATAAAAGTACAAAATTATTTTTTGTGTTGTTAATAAATATTTTTAATTTATTATATAATTTTGTTAAAATATTTAAATAATTCTTAAATTTTTAAATTAAACTTTCTTTAGATAGATAATTAGATATATAAAGTAGGGGAGAGGATAAATAGGAATTAGAGATAATTTTGGAGAAACTAGGGGAGGTAGTTTAGGAGAAATTTTAAGAGAAGAGATTATTTAGGTTATTGGGAAAGTGCATCTCATTGATTCTTTAAAAAAAATGACAAGGAATAAAAAATAAAAAATACAAAAAAAGGATAAAATTTCTTGACCACTTTGTATATATATATATATATATATAGAGAGAGAGAGAGAGAGAGAGAGATTTTAAAGTTTATACTATTATTACATAATTTCATTATTAATTTTATAAAAATATTAAATTATTATTAATTTGAATATTATGTTATGATTTTTTATCTTAAGATATTTGTTATTTTATTGCATAGTTTCGTTATTGAAACTATTTAAAATAAAGTTATGTTAAATATTTCATTATTTAAAATATTTAGTAATTAAATATGTTACAAATTATTTAAGTATTTAAATAACTAGGTATTTTAAATAACCAAATATTTAATATAATTATTTTTCTGAAAAATAGAAAAATAATTATAACATAATATTGAAATTAATAATAATTTAACTTTTTTACATAATATTGTAAATAAATAATTTCGCTAATATCAAGTAATAATTCGAGAAAATAACTTTCAAAAAAAATAATATTTATTAATAATAATTTTAAACTCTTCATCTATATTTATTATGTAATTATATATACTAAAATTAATATTTATTGTATTTCAATAATTATTTATTGTTTTTGTCATAAATGTATTTTCAATGATTATGTATAAATTTATTTTCTTTTGTTATTTAATAGAAAACTTTCAATAATTATTGGAGATTAAACTACTATTACTGAAATTTTTAAATTTAATTTAGTGTAGCTATTGTATTTATTCTATTTTTGTTATAACTTATTGATTAAAATTTATTAGAGATTAAACTATTATTTGAGATTACACTATTTATTGACTAAGTTAATATATTTTAGTACTTATTGGAGATTAAACTATTGTTATTTATCAGAGATGAGACCATTAATTTAGCTGAAATCATGAGTGTTCATGAGTTGGTTTGGTTCGGTCGTAGGCTATTTGGCTAACCAAATTGACCTGGTCAGGTTTAGGGAGTTGCCCAGCTTAAATCGACTGACCTTTTGTGAAAACCGACCCACTCACGTTGTATCGATTTTTTGGTTTGGTTAGTCGATTCAAACAATTTAAACTTAAAAACTAAATTTAATTTTGAAAATTATAATGCAATTATTATAAAATAAATTTAAAAATTAGATTTATGATATAAAACATTTTAGACTAAGAAATATGGGAAATTTCCCACTTTTCCATATTAAAAATTATATTTAAAATATAAAATATTAATATATATCCATGGTTAGGTCGTTCGCTTTTGGTTGGTTTACAAATGGCCAAAATGAAATTGATCCAACTTAGTCGAATTGGGAAATTTTTTAACCAAATCTAACCTAAAATACTAGAAAATCGACCAACTCGGGTCGAGTTGATCAGGTTGGTCGATTTCATCAATTTGATGAACAAACCTAACTGAAATTAATTATTTTTATTTTTATATTATAAAAATTTTATTAAAAGTAGTATATAAAATATGAATAATTATTAATTATTTAAAAATTTGAAAATATAAAATAATTGTATAGTCTTATGTGATTCTATTAGTGTTATTTACTAGAACAAATCTTATAATTTTACATATTTACTTCAACCTACCTGATAGTTTTCATTTTATTAAAACATCCCATATATTTTACAACTTATTTACTTAATCAACCTTTMATYAAKGAGTRYTYGTTTTGCCATTARRCCYATGATTTTTTATTCCAAAAATACCCTTAACACTTTTTTTTTGTACAAAAGACAAAAATAACCAAATATAGCTAATAGAGTCGTTGCCCATGTCTTATAAAGGGAAAAAGTGGTATTTTTATTTTTATTTTCTTTTGATTAAATTTATTTAAATGAACATTAGGGTTGACACTGTCATTTTCCACTCTCACCTAATGAAAGATTGATTAAATCCATTACAAATTATAAGTGGTGTTTTAGTAAAATTTTAACTATAGGGTAGATTTTAGTAAATCCATGAAACTATAAGGGGTATTTTAGTAAATGGCCCTTTCGATTATTTACCTTTCATTTAATAAATCTAGTGCATCACATGGGTCCTTGTTAGTACTATTTTAAAAAGTACCAATAGCCCTTAAAAACTTATGCAATTTTACTTTGACAAATGTTGTCTCTTTGTATTAATGCTTTTAGATTTGAATTTGATGACAAATTTAATATTTTGTTGATTGTTTTTAAAGAACTACTTAAATGAATTGTAACTGAAATTTTATGGAATGTTTATCTATCTTAATTAATAAAGAATTATAACTAAAATTTCATGAAGCATTTAGTTAGATGTATCTCTCACTCTCTCTTAATTAATATTGAACAAAATCATTGTTATTTGGTCATCTTTAAAAGTAGGTTCTATTGTCACTATTTAATGATTTTAAAATGTGGGTTTTGAATGTGGTTCCACATTGATTATGGATTTTGGATTAGCTTTTCCATTGGTTTACAAGAAGTTTCTGCTCAATCTCAAGATGTTTGAGAATGTTTCATTCAAAATATCCATTTCAAAAAGTTAATTTTTTCTAAAAAAATATTTCAGATATAGGGTTTAAAAATTGATCTCTAAGATTATGAGCATCTCAATATCAATAAACAAAGAAAAATACATGGGTGCCTCAATTATTCGAGACATAATTGATAAGTCGTTGCAGCAAAAAAGCCAGATG